CTCTCCATGCATTATACAGTTTTTTAATCTGCAAATGAACATGTTATACTGCATTTATGCTTGTGTTATCTGCTTTCAGTTCTAGTGACCCAGCAGTGCAAAGAGCCATGGAAAAAGTCCAGAAAGCCATCAACAGGTATGTTGTGCTTAATATCACAATAGCACACACAAAATATTCATTCAAACTTAAAAACACAGATTGTGGGACGTACCACATGTGGTTCTGTTGTTTAACAGCCTGTGTCATGTTTTAGGCTCCAGGCTGAAAGTGAATCTTGGGAGGCACTGTTGAACAAACACCGGAGCAAAGCAAAGGAATTGGAAAGGTGAGCATGTGTACTGTTGTTGAGTTACAGTGTGTCACATATTATCTGCTCAATTGTGTTTTAATGTGTTCTTTATTATTTGTAGGAAAGTGGAGCAGGGCCAGGAGGGAGGCATATCATTAGACACTACATCTGTGGCCCAGTCGTCCCAGTACCATTTTTTACAGAGTAAACCTGACTACCACGGTCTCCTCTGTCGACAACAGCCCATGCTTCACACTATGGCAACGATTGTATGTTTGAAATTAGATTTTTACATCATTACTCAAATAACTCATAAACATGTCTACAGTAGAAGTGATTGACTGTTAGCAGAAGCTGAAATCTGTAAGGTTTTTATTACTACATCGTTCTTACATACCATCTGTATGACGGTGTATGTATAAAATGCAGAAGCTTTTTTGAAGAAAAAGGTATTTTGGCCATGAGAGTGATGAAACATAAAGCAGATGCTACTGATTTATGGGCAGCTTAAGTGCTGTCCACAAGAAAGGGAAAGAAGTGCCTGGCTCTCAGCAGTCCAAGGTGACTGTGCCAATAAATTAATACATTCACATTCAACCAATCTCATTTAAAAGTCACAATTGAGGTAGATTTGAGATAAAATAAACACATAAAGCACAACATCTGTACTTCTTTGCTCTGTATTCTGTAGTTCCATTGTAGCAACAAGTTCAATGGTTTTGAAGTGCTGAGTCCTTCAAGAAAACATTATTTTCTGCCAAAGAAAAGGTCTGTTTCCATGTAATACCTTTTTGGTTTTGTTCTCGGTGTAGCTTGGTTGAAAAAAAAAAAGTATGTCAAACAATTCTGTGCTCAGATCAAAGTTTAGCAACATCTGAATCCAAGTATTACAGTACAGGTACAGGGTTGTTTCCTTTAGTTGTCAAAATACATATTTTTCCTTTTTCCTTTAGTGTTATTTATCAATCAAGATTGTTTTGGCACTAGTTGCCAGTGTTGGAAACATGTAGCTTCTTTCCAATATTATCTCCAAATAGAACTAGATGGCACTTGGCTTGTGGTGCTCGGAGTGCCAAAAAATATGTTTGAAAAACTCAACAGCAGTGTCTTTCCAGAAATCATGACCCATTTACTCAAGGTAATCCACAGAGCTTGTTGTGAGCAGTTTCATGTAGGAACTATTTTCTTTCTACAGAACTACACCCGCCAACTGTATCACTGTGCAGAGGGAAACATGCACCTAGCACCACTGAGCTAGGTAACGTTACATAGTCAACATTTCTACTGATGTTTACTGAGGGGGTTGCCAGTAATGTCTACGTCTTGTGGTGCCATCTGCACGAGTCAGTTGTACATGAGTAGATGCATGCTTACCTCTGCACAGTGATCTGGTTCGCAGGTGTGGTTTGGTAAAAGAAAATAGTTCCTATATAAAACTGCTTAAAACAAGGCTTGTAGATTATGTCGAGGAGCTGGATCATGATTTCTGGAAAGAGACATTGCTGTTAAGTTTTTCAAATGTATTTTTTTTTCCTCTCTTTTGCTGCTTTGAACATCCTAAGCCCAGTGCCATCTAGTGTCATTATATTCAAGAGAAGCTTATACCTCCAACACTTGGCAACACACACCAAAACAATCTAGACTGATAAGTAGCACTACAGGTAGGAGGAGAAATATGTATGTTTGATTTTGGGGTGAACTGTCCCTTCAAGTATAGTGACTACAGCTCAAATATGATATAAATATAATACAATAACTTACTCTTTTTTCATGTGTAGATGGACACACAGACTAAGATGGTTAGAAAGCTTCTGTCCATCAAGGAGCAGTCACAGTTGCTAGTGAAAGAGACCAGTGGCCGACTGGGTAAAGACTTTATTTGTCTCTCATCTTTTCTGTGGAATAATTCTATGGAATCAACAATGATTTGGCCATTTAACATTTAATCTGGTTACTCTTTCCTTCCAGCCGCAGAAGCAGGATTCCAGGATCTTTCCCCCGACCCCATCAAGAACCTCCTGGCAGCACCTTTATCCTCCGCAACTACATAGTCACTCAGGCATGAGGCAAGCACAAGCAATCAATCATCTGATGGACCATGACTCTATATGACTTGTATATGAAGCTCATATATGATTATTTTCTGGTAATTTTGCTGTTAATGTGATTTGGGAAAATATAATGTCTTTACTCCGCCTTTGTTGTCTCTTGTTATTGGATAAAGTAATGTGTTCTGTGTCAAATAAAACCACTTCCATCAGCAGCAGGACTGGTGGTAGAGGTAGTCCATATGTTTGACCAGCAGGTGGCAGTGGCTGGCTATACAATATTATGAAAGGCTTGGTAAATTCCCAGAGTGGATTTTTCTGTTAGGCCTTAATTAAGTATTCTTACCTGTAAAACCTGGAACTGTCAAGACTACACTGTCAGGAATTAAGAGGAAGGCAGATGTTTAAGAAAACAGTGAGAACTTTATGCAAAATTAGGATATTGGTTGGTCATACAATAAACGAGCGTTTGGAAACTAAACTGAATTTGATTAAAAAAAATAGTTTAAAATTAAGTCATTGGTGGCATTTTAAGTGGTCTGCTTACCATTGTTTTATTAATCTGAAAAGCAGCAATGTGAAGAGTAGCTGAACCATGCTGGTGTATGTAGTGTCATTTTCAAAAAGCATCATGAATCCTGTGAAGACATGTACCACTTTTTCCAATTAAATTTGACTTGTGCAACAGTAAAGCATTAAATATAAAGATCATTGAACACAGATGGATTATGCTCTACAGTTTACCTATAGTCTATTTACAGTCCTTTTAACATGCTCATCCTCAAGCATTTACTCTCTTTTTGGTGCTGCATCTATTTCACTTCATCAGTGTCCCCTGACCATTCAGGAGGAGGCCCCTCCCCCCACAGTGACTCACCCCCATCTCTTGCATTTGGCTGGGTCACTGATGCAGAACGAAGCTTTGACATTGTACCAGTCAGTCAAAGCTTTGTTCGCTATCACTCCCTATCTCCTGGACCCATTCACTCATTAATGCTCAGAGTTAATTTTGATGATTGCAGCAAGCAGAAAACAGCTTTTGCCCATTGCCAACAATAAATAAAGAGTGAATGACTTCCTGTGTGCTGCAGTTATGATCTCCTACATGGTGTATGCTCAATTTTCCTTGTGATTGTATTCAAGGGAGTGACTGGGGAGCGTAGGGACAAACAGAGGGAAGACAAGCGGGGTTGTGACCGTGAGAGTTGTGAGTAAGGGAGGATGGTGCACAGCGGGAGAGATCGATTCTTATTTAGATGAAAATGAGCCTTGATGCTTGTGGGGTGAGAGGAGGGCAGCTTTAGCATCCAAATGAATAGAAGTTTCACAGAAATGATCCTTAAATGAATCACCGACAATAAAACGTATAAAGAAGTTTACAAAGCCGCTGACAGTCTTTTTACTTTCGAGGAAGGCCTCTCTTGACAGTGAGGCTGACTTTGGGGTTAGATGATCACCCCTGCAGTTACTCACTTACAAATGTATGGTAAACTGTCGCTTTAAACAGCCTCAGTGACCTGAGTAAATGGCAGGTTAGAAGTTATTCTTGAAGTGTTTGATTTGGATGTAGTGCATATTTGGATAAAGGAGCCTTGGGTGTGACCAAGCTTTGGGCTCCTTATGTGTAGACTATTATTAGAAAGAAAAGGAGGGTCCTTTTTGCTATTATATATATTAATATTTTATACTTACATGCATCAGATTGAAGGTTTGGTTGTGGTAGTGCTAACCTTTCAGAGGGTTAAAATTCTCTGCTTGGTATAACCCACAAGAATCCTGAATTGTGACTTGTACTATATGCACATGCAATGAACAATTACTGTTTAGGTTTGCTGTATTCTCTATTCTTGTTGTCTCTAACTTTAGATTGATTAGCTACAGATTGTAGTAGATGGATGTGTGGAGAGTCAGCATAAACCACTGCCAGTTTGGTCCTACTCCCTCATGCACACCCATCATCTCTTCTCAGTACAGCAAGGCTGGCTGCAGCTCTCCTCCACATCCATTCAGCCAGCCATTCGTCTTGGAAAGCTGTCTCTCTGATCTGAGTGATAAACTACAGCAGAATTGCCCAGTTTGCAAAAAACAAGGACACTTGTTTTCAATCTGTGCTGTCAACATTTTCATACTGAAAACTGATGGGATGTTTCATTCATCTGGGGGTTTAGGATAGAATCATATTCTGAGGTCGGGTGTTTTGCTTTGAGATTGAAAATTGCTCCCGAAATTGCCACAATTTGGCCCCACACAGATGGATATCAGTGCACTGACTTTTAGGCACAACTTATGAAATGACACTGACTCCCAGAGACTAAATCAGTTTCAATACTCCTTTTTTGCTATTCAACACACTTACTTGTGAGTGAGGACAGGTTGTTGTAGCTTGTTAGGTTCATACACATCTTTGTGTGTAATATCAGAGAGGCTCTAACACCATTTTATTACTGTGTTAACATGTGCAGCTTGTTATAAGCTCACATATCACACCATCCCTTCTGTGCATGTATACAAGCATTCATTTTAAAGTTTTGCTCAGAAAGCATTTTGTTAATTGGGTGATCTCGCCTTATATTAATGAAGGAAATGGCTTGAACCAATTATAATAGGACAAGCAGTGGTGATGACGTAAGGGGCTATCCATTTGTAAAGGCAGCACTTGAAGAGAATCTTGTCACCTGGAGGAATAATACAGTTATAGTACATGGGATGTTGTGGTGTAATATTTCTATATGATGCATTGTTACTAATATAACACCAGCTAATGTGGAAATTAATCTATATTAGCTTTTCTATATAGTAGTCTACCGATTAACCCACCCGCAAGCTCTCGCTCCGTGGTGCTACGAGTTCAATGGTCAACGCGACGCACACTGCTCGCGCAGCCCAGAACGTCCCACATACTCGCGCGACATCAACAACAATGGCAAATCGTAGTCTGTTTTGGTAGGATATTTCTGATTGGAGCGAGACAGCCCGACAGCTCAGCCGCTGTGTTCACGTCTTATTTCTTCTTTTAAATCGGCGAGTTTTATTTCCCGGACGAGAGTGGTCGTCTGTCGTTACATTTTCCGTTTTTAATTTTTTATTTCGAAAATGTGCGAGGCGCTGTTGGCAAGCTCACACAGTCTGTGCATGTGTGTCCCTGCTGCTTTTCTGCTGGGCTACGGCTACTAACCTAGCTGCTTTTCACTCGGTGGTTAGCTAACGTTAGCCTGGCCGCGTTTATTAACTTGAGGAGGGGAAAACACAAGCGAATGTAAAGCGAGCTTGTGCTATCTGTTTCGCGTTCACAGCCGTTAACTATTTTCCAACCGTTGCTGTCGGCTACGGTAAGAAGTGTTGTATGATTTGTCGTAGAAGATACTTTGCTGGCTAGCTAACAGGCTAGCTATTTGTGTGTATTCTTCGACTGAGGAAAACGGCGAGTTTTCTTTGAAAGTATGGATGACCAGACCAGGATGCTGACGGGTCTCACCGGACTCGCTGGACTAGCACAAGCCGATGTCGGTGACCCAGACTCGGTCAGGAAACAGCAGTCCCTCGGTCAACCTCAGCAAGACATAGGGGATATCCTACAGCAAATAATGGCCATCACCGACGAAAGCCTGGACGAAGCACAGGCCAGGTAAGACAAGCGAAGAGCCATTTTCCACACATGATAGCTAAGCTAAAGTGCGCTGTATGTGTTTTATTTCTGCTTTAGGGCTTAGTCTTTTCTCTGAAACGATCACATAAATTGAGGTAATGCTTAATTGCATCATTGATGCAACTTCACGTTTGATTGTAATCCGCTGCTAAACCAATACATTATGGTACAGAATAACTTGAACACCCACATTACAGTGCTGTTGTAGTTTGAAAGGAGGGTCTTTGTTACTTCAAATCGTGCTTTATTGTGTACTGTAGTTTGTAAACATGCTCACTTGGTTGAAAAGGGGCGATAACGTTAATCCTGTGTGGTTTATCAATGAAGTGTTAAATTAAAAAGTTTGAATTCCCTGTTGAGTCTGTGACAATGGTTGCCGTGCAAAATGCACACAACCACTTGCCAAACACTGAAGCTGTATTTGTGATGCATGGATCTCTCGGTTTAAAAAATAGTTTAGGCCACAGTAGTGCATCTTTAATGCTTTCATTAACCCCTGCATACAGTAAACAATTCCTACATATTTCATGAGTTTTTGTTATCTCCCCATTGGCTCACAGGACCATATCCATTTAGTGACGCAAATATCCTTTTTACATCAACTAATAAAACTACCAAGAAGTGCGTCAACAACACACAAAAGCCCCTTTCTTAAGATAGTGCATGCTTTAAGTTGCTGGAGTCAGAGCTATCTGAGTATAAACTAGGCATTCTGGTCATGTTGCCAAAGCTTTCACATATCACTAATCAGACCATGGCAAATTAGATTTGCCTAATTATAACAACATATATCAGGGATGCCGCTCCACGTCAAATGGGTGTCGATAACATTAGTCATTGAAATGCAAATGAGCTGATACATTAAGGTAAGGATTATTCAGTTGTCCCACGTATCAGCCCAGTGCTGCCTGTGATGACAGCAATCCTTCATTCATATGACTCGTCACTTAATGTTTGTGTTAGAGGTGTTTTACGTAGCATTATTGTAGATAGTATGCGCGGCAGTGAGCCACTGACCCGCACTCATTTGCCATGTGGCTCAAGGAGCATAAGGTCAGTTTCAGATGAAGCGTCAGTATTTCAACAATAGACAACCGTCCACTGCAAGACCGTGGCCACAGTGTGATGTGTCATTAGCTAGTGATTTTCCACCCAACATTTGACCACCTGGTTCTCTTAATTAATTCACTCCTCTTTCACTCCCTCCCTCCCTGGTGTTCATCCTTTTCATTGTGTGCTGGGTGCAATCAATTCTCCTATAATGTGTACGCGAGTGCAGCTGTCCGCAAATCGAGTTTCTATTAATGAGATGGTGGTGAGGGGGAGGGATGATGCTATACCAGCAGCCTATGAACACTGGGATATTACCTTTTCTTCAGTAGAAGTTTGAGGACTCAATCAGGCCTTATTTCATAGACAAATGCAAATATTTTTCCTTTGGAATATTTCTTGCAGTCTAGTTTTCCTTCTCCCAAACCTTTTTTTGTTATGAATTGTAAAGACCATTTACTAAAGGTTGTACTGTAGTGAATAGAATAATGTAAATTTCAAATATTATGGTTTAAAGGGCCAATTATAGTGTAGGAAATCAAGTAGCTGGCCTATTATTAGATGTTAACAGGCTATTCTGAAAAACTAATTAAAGGTGTGGCTGCTTCGGAAGTGCCAGAGGTGTCCTTGCTGTATGCTTGTATTGATCCAAACTCCCACTCAGAGCATGTCCTCCTCATGCCATTTATGTGCAGGATTAATACTAAAAAGAATGCAGCCTACTGGCAGTTCAGTGGACTTGATTGAAATTGTGAGGCCCATACAGCTCAAATCCTCGCTGCTGTCATGTGCATAGTATGTATGTGATCATTAAAGGCAATTCTGATAATGAAATATTCATCCACTGGACAGTATATGTTTAGCATTAGCCGACAGAGTAGCTTGCGCTAAGTGCTGAATCGTTAGGCTCAGGTTTACTTCAGGTAAAAGGACAAAACATAATGGTACCACATGTAGTCTGTAATAACAAATAGGTTTAAGATATAGCGGTAGGTATGACTTACATTGTACAGTTTTTATCAACATCATACTTAACTCTGATCAAGTTTGTCACCCACACATCAATCTTTCCCTCAGTCATGGTCTATAAATTAATTTGTCGTGGCTCACATGTGAGCATGACGCCCTTGTCGTGCAGGGTGGCAGTGTGTTGGGATGGGGAGTGGTCAGGGCAGCGCAAGAACTCGGTGTTGCAGAGTACACTTCCTGCGCACCATCCACCCTCATCCTCTCACCCTGTCGCCATATGTTCAGATGCTGGCCAGAGGAATCGCCGGCGCATTGGGGTGGATCAGACGACCCCACAGAGGGAGGGAGAGCAGGGGGGGGCATGGCAGGGGGTGGCCTGCCACTCAACTTCCAGCACAGGTCAGTACAGGACCGCATGAGCACCTCCTTCTCCCCCTCCTGCTCATACCCTCCATGCTGAAGGCAGCCCTCCCCCCAACTCAATCCAGCAGTGACAGAATTGGTGGACAAAATGACATATTAATGCTAGACACACTTCTTTACATCATACTGCCTCTCAGAATACTCTCACAGAAAGGCAGTCTTTCGTCGCAGTCTAATATACAGTAGGCGCACTATTTGCTAGTCCCCATGGTCCCCTCATTAATACTGCAGTGGACATTCACAACTGGAATTGGTGTTGAGGTCAGGTGTAGCCAAATCATATTCATCAGTGGTTGTTTTCACTGTGTTGTTAGTAATGTTATTTGGAAAATGAATTATTTATTTCAGGGTGATTTTCAGGTTTTTCTTATTTCATGTTTCCCAATTCATACTCATCAATAATGGAGGCCTCATGCTGGTTTTGTTTTTGTTTTTCACCTAAACTTAAACTGTATGTTGCACTTTTCTGATAACATATTTAAGTTGTTTCCACTGAAATCTGTTTTTCCAATAAATGATGCCTGTTGTGATTTGTAAGACTCTCCATAGAACACCGATATGCCTGTGTTTTCTCTATTTATAGAACGAGTCATTAAAAATACAGGGGGTGCACAAAACTACAGAAACATTTTTACAGGATAATGCAATATTACAACAGCACTATAAACTACACACAGTCATTGTAGAGTAAAATAAAACACCTCTGACAGTAATAATGGAACATTATGAGCTACACTGTTGTAGCATGCTTGTAGTGCATGCTTAGTTACATGTCTTTGTTATTTGTGCCTTTCAAACCTATTTCAGTATGAAAAACATTACTTTTAAAATGTGGTGCTGTGCGTACTCAGCACTCCCTCTCCCTGTCGGTACAGTAGTTAACGTTGGAGACAAGTCATTTAGGGTCGTATTAGGAATGGGGCTTTGCCACAGCATTCCAGTTTTCTAAATTTTAATACACATGTAAGCTGTATGGGTGTGTGTGGGTGCATGGATGTGTATTAGCAGGAAATTTTGTTGCTGAGGTGTTCTGATTTGATTATGGTGAACTGTAGAAGTTTTGCCCTTTCTCCTTTAATTGCTATTAGCCTGTTTGGCAATAAAGAGAACGTCTCTGATTAAATTAAAATTGCAACTTAATCCTAATCCTCTCTATCAACTCACCATCTTCTTTCATGAAACAAGTCTTTCTGTAAGAGGTAGAAATTAGATTACTGTGTATTAACTCTGGAATCTGGTGCTCAGTAATGATGACCTTGAGGTTTGGCATCATTACCTGCCCCACAGTGCAAAGCATCCAAATGACAACATTACTCTTGCTAGTTCAGATTGACGCATCAGGGATGTTTCTGCACTGACAATGGCATTTGACAATTTAAAATGCCTTTAAACAACATGGCTCTGTCCTGCTGTGTTGCACTACACTCTTGAAATGCTGTATGCATAATACATACAGCTCCTCTACCTGTTTTATGGGGGAGGACATGGAATGACTTGAGATGGAGGTCTGTTTATCGTAATCCTCCTCGATCTCTCCCTCTCTTATTCCCTCTTCTCTCTTACAGGAAGCATGCCCTGAACTGTCACAGAATGAAGCCAGCCCTCTTCAGCGTTCTCTGTGAGATCAAAGAGAAGACGGGTGAGTTTCTACTTCACTCGTTCTCTTTGTGTTCTTCAGTCTGCACAGGTTGTAACCTAGTGTTGAGATGCAGTGTGCCTTTGTTCCAGTTCCCCTGGCTCCAAGTTTCCTTTTTAACGGCCTCTATTGATTGGATATTGGTTGAATGAGTTGCAGAACTGAGGTAGCTGCATGTGTTGTACATGCTTTGGTTCAGAATCATTCTAAATATGCACTGCTGTTTTTTTTTAGTTTTGGCCCAGTAATTATAGAAACTTAACCTATTTTTGGCTGCTGTCCAGACTTCACACTGACCAGCTGAAACTAATCTTAGTGGATCGGTGCGTTTGAAACCTGAGTCAGACCGTAGAACTTGCTGCAGAACATGCTAACAACTCTGACTACACATGCTTTTTTATCAGCTTGCCATTTTGTTCTCCATTTTGACCTGGAGCCCCTGAATGCAGAAATACACCCTGCTTGGTTTGGCATTTATGCATTCCTGTCAGTTTCAATCTCGGATGATGAAGAGTCAATGACAAAATGTATGAATGATACAACCAACAGGCTCTTACAATTAGCTGAATGTCACAGCAGTATTTACTATGATAAAGCAGGGTAGTAAAGCCCCGCTGCTACCACTACCAGAAAGTATCACTTCCAAATTCTTAGATTATAAAATCAACCCTGATCTCGACAGAAAGTTCATGCACAGCTCGTTGACAGCAGGCAGATATGAAAAACTCCACAGGGGTTATTGTTTTACAGTCACACTGTTATGCTATTTCAGTACAAAGAGATGCTCTATTCTCCCACACTGTTAAAACAGCTACACCACACAGTGTAGGGTAATTGTGTATTGGGAATACATTGATATGCATATCAATGCAGTACCGACATCCAACACAACATGCAAAGCAACAAGAAAGTGCTCTGACACTGTCTTAACAAATAATGTTGTATTTCATATACACGTGATCTGATGGAAATTATTGCCTATGTAAATATCTCAGATTTGCTCTTACTCATACAATTATTCAGTAAGTAAACATGCTGCTTATTCTCATCTTGTTAGCTATTCGAGTCAGCTATCTGACAGATTCTAGTGTGGTTCAAAGGCGCAGGCCGGGGATGGATGGCAGATTGATGGTTATGGTAGTGTAAATGGGGTGCGTTTTTGAATCCTCTCCCTCTCCCCCCCTCTCTCTCTCTCTCTCTCTCTCTCTCTCTCTCTCTCTCTCTCTCTCTCCGTTCTTGTCTTTCTGTGTGCTTTGCTCTCTTTCACTTGCCTTGTGTATCTTCTAACAGCAAACCTCTCTTGTTCAAATACAATTTGAAAATGCTGCACTGCTGCCTGTTGTGGTCCTCTGTCAATAATGTATTATTGCTCTCCAGTGATTGGACAAAAGTAAAGGCTGGGCTTGAGTGAGTGGGGCAGGGTACACTGTTTCCCAGGCAACCAGTGGTCTTATTTACCCTAATGCCATTCACTTTGATTTTCACATTTAGTCTCCCAGCAAACTAGAGAGATGGTCTGTGAGTGCTCTTACAGTAAGCCGAGCAGAAAAACAGACAAGGCATTGAGGTAGGTTAACAATAGATTCACGCTTGAGGTGAATATGCCAACCATGAGATATAGAGATCTTTGGCTTTGCCTGTACTCTGCTGGCCATCTGCCACGCAGTGCCCTCCTAACTGCACTGTGTACCTGCTTTGGCATTTCTCTGCTACTCCATCAGACCCCCCTGCAGGCCCCATTATGTGCCTCTGGAATGTGAATTGACTTCTCTTCAGTGCATCTTGTGGAAGACCCAATCAGTAGTCCTCTAGTATCTCCACAGATTTTCTGCAGTCTTTTTTCAATAACAAACATGCACTTGTGTCGGCGCGTCCACATACACACTCTGTCTCTCTTGCGCACACACGCACACACTGAACAAGGATAAAAGCAAACTCGGTCTTGGGTCTACTCCTACTGCCTCGGTCTTGTCCTCTCCCCCTCCCTCCCTCTGCCTCGCTCCCATTCTTGAAAGAGAAGACTTGCTCTGAACTCGGGGCTTTGATATGGTAATGTAATGGTGGTGGTGGAGGAGGGGAGGTGGGGTGTGGGGGATGGGAGGTGAATTCCTCTGAGTGCTGCAGTTGGTTAGATTGTTTTCATTGTAAAGGAAATGTTCTGCGCAAATGCCAGTGCCCCCCACCTCCCCACTGCCACCACCCCAAATCACCCCCTATTTTACAACAGTGCCTGCGTTGTCCTGAGTTCTCATATTAAACATGACCTCCATCTGCGTGAAATTTGATTCTTGTTAATACTTTATTAAAGATACACTCCAAAAAAGAAATTAAAGCACTTGGAGAGAGACGGGAAATGATCAAAGTTGAGAGCCAGTGGCTTTGCTTCAACTCAGTTCTGTTCTCCCTCGCTCTCATGGGTATTTGCTGTAAAAATAGCTCTTGGTGCAATGGGACAGCTTATGCCAAAATCTCTCACAAGCCACTGCAGCTACTCTCAGAAGTTTTTCATTTAGTTTGGGCATGTTTGTGGCATTTCTCCTTACTTTTATGCATTCCTCGTGCTTCACACATGACAACATTGAATCTGTCACTCACTCTGTTCTGTCATCCTGCTCGAGTCCCTCTCTTCAAGCCTGAACATTCCTGGTTGTTTATTTTTGGACAGGTTTTAAATGAAAATAAAAATAGTTTTTGAAGTGGAATTAAAGCTATACGTTTTTTTTTAGCTAAGAGATGGCAAAGTGTATTTTGAATCTCTTTCTCCTCCCCCTCACTTGGACAAGTTCACACCCCAACACTTGCCACTCATCTTGATAAGCTGTCTGATAAACAACTCTGTGGGATAATGCTGGTAGTTGGCTGTGTAGAAATACTGGCAAACTGGCAGGCATCCTAACTATTTAAGACTATAATGGCCAGCTCTGCGTTGCCTCTTACCGTTAAAAGTTAATGAACCAGTCACCATTGTTATGATATGCATATACGTACCTGCACACCACCACTCTTATGAGCCATGTATCCCTCAGCAGCAACAGTGAGGGTTTAACAGCAAGGACATCCTGATGGCCTGTAGCCAGTGTGATGTTAACTTGAGCCAGTTGATTGCTCTGTTAGGTGCCCAGTTGTGCCAGTTTCCTAACAATGTGTCTGGGTATTTTCTGTCTGCCTCTGCCACAGGCCCACTCCCTTCTCTCTGTGCATTATCTGACCAGCCTCTGAGTCCATCAGATAGTTTTAATAGAGCACATGCTTTGCCTGATCCTTTAAATAATGAGGAAACCATTAGGATGAAAATGAAGATCAGTCCTGTAATGTTTGTTTAATTTGACAGTGATGTTTACCTACACTGGATGGAAATGTCTTATTTTTCTAAACACCTACAAGCACCAGCATTTCATAGTTGATGCCTGCCAGCAGAGCCAGCAGCACTTAGCTAGTATGTTGGCAAAGCGGCTAGCTGACAGCCCATCATCACATCCTATTAATGTTTTGACAAGATGGATGAATGGTGAGATTTAGCCAACTCCACGAACTTGCTCTCTGGTTTATGTTTTTCACTGCTATCCCTGGTTAATATAAAAGCTTCTACTGTTTAGTTATCTTATCAATAAATTGAAATACATATTGTAAAATTGAATGAATATGAATTAGACTATGTGATGAAGAAAATATGGCTGTCTTATTGACAGTCCAGAGTTGTACAATCCTACTTCAAAGGAGTATAAACCACCATGCAGCTTCTTGGCGTTTAATAAGCCTTCAAAGTGGTTCATATTTTATCTACTCTGTAACCTGTGACAACACACACACACACACACACATACACACCAGTGCAGCCCCTTGTTTTTAGGAGTGCAGGCTTTATCAGAATGTGTCCTTGTATTATTTTCTGTTTGCCTATAACCTTCTACACAACATTCAGGGTAACCAAACTGTTAAACAATTTATGTTAAAGGACCAGGGTGTAGGATGTATTGGGAAAAGTGGTATATAACAAACATAACTGTTTTCATTAGTTTATAATAACCTAAATTGTTGTTTTCATTATCTTAGAATGAGCTGTTTATATCTACGTATAGGGGGTCGTTTCATATAATCTGCCATTTTGTTCTTAAGTAGTACAGAACGAACAAACCAAACACTGGCTCTAGATAGTGTTCTGCAACCTCATCTCGAGAAAACACAAAATCTTACATATTGGATCTTTTAATCAGCTTATTGGGGTCATAATAATAAAGCTTTATTGCAGACACAGGTCCATATAACACAACATACAGTATCTACAGTAATTAGGAATGTACACAACTAGTCGACTTGTCGCTACCCTCACTAGTCAACACCAGAAATACTAGTTGATTAAACTTATTATTGGATTATAATTATATTAATGTAGACATTCACATTATATATTAATGTAATTTGCAGTGAAATGTTTTCCTACTAAAATGTTGCCATATAAAAACAAGCATCTATTAGTTACTAATGTTAACAACGTTAGTTTACAAAAACAAAATAATAGGAAAAACAAAGAAGACAGTGGCCTGCGAGCCCTGCTTCACAGGTACGACGGTGGAAAGTGCAACAGTGATGACATCTTGTCAAAAAATCAGTATGGTTTGGCATTTTTAGTGAGTTTTTCTCATGTACAGTGTTCACTTATTTTAGCAGCATTTAAATGTGAGTATAAGTTTAAACTTCCATTTAAACGTCAGGGAAAGCAGTTGTTAGTCATTCCTAGTTGTAATGTTTTTACAAACCATGTAAGTTCCTTAACCAAATATTGCCTCACCTAGGCATTCAAAAGCTACCTACATACCATTTGAGCAACATAACAGCCCCAATTACATGTTAATTGAATTACAGCATGATTGTAGTTGTAAAAACACTGAAACAAAACACTGCTTAAATTCACACATAGTTGCCAGGTGTTAATTCACAGCCAGAATAAACACTTAGCATTTTCAAGCCTTTAGAGAGCTAATTTAAATTTGTATATCTTGATT